ATGCAACAGCTAGAAGGTCTCGGACTTCTCGAAAAGTTGCCATTATGCTCGTAAAATCCACGAACAAAGTCAAATTGGACCACTGAAAACGAAAGCAAAACAGCCGTTGCTCGCCGCCGCTTCTACGCAAGCTTAATATTCTAATTTCGCGCCAAGAGGAGGCGGTCTCAACCCAACTCCCGCGCGGCCATCGCCGCCTCCACCTAACCGCCTCAAGTGTTTGCTTAAGGTCTCTAATTACTAAAACTGATCCCTTGGACAAGATATAATTATCATGATTACAAACAACTCAGCAAAACCGAAACCATTGAATCTTGTCTTTTCATAGTCGATCGGCTAATCCAGATAGCTCACACTCATTTAACAGGTCATAAAGATCTCCCACAGTCATGTTACTCCGTTCTCCAATATAATCCAAGAGAACACCAGCTGGGTTTGGATAACGTCTGTCAAGGTAACGAATCCGTTCTGAATTGACGCGTAGTCTCTCAGCAAGCAACTTCCATTCTTCCCCACCTACAAAAAACAATGCATTTGATCAAACAGAACACTGATATTTAAGAAAGAGATTATTTGCTTTGCTGCGACATAATTCCTTTATTGTTAGCTCGAGTCGCAAGGCTCTGAGATACCAAATGATAAGGTTAGTAAAACTTAATTTCTTAGTGGATCAGGAGCCATAAGCGGGAACGGAGACCGTAAGCAGGGTGGAAAAAGGCAGAAATCGTGCTCTCAGCATCTGCACGCGCTTTGATATGGACGTTTTTTCGAAGGTTTCTTGGCCCCATCTTTTGATTTTCTTCATTTTGTTCATGGGTCGACCATTGTGTTTTCTATGAAAAACGAACGGCTGATAACGGGAAAGAAAAAAGTGAATTTCAGGTCCATATCCGCTTCCTTTGCCCTCATGTATTGGCAACTTCTAGTATTTTCTTAGGAAAAGTAGATAAAAATTGAAAAGGTGCAACGATTGTCGTCGTTCGGTCATACTGATAAGATTACACTAGTCCAAAAAATTAAATCAATGATTGGGTTCTGAAAACCTTGTCAAATCTATTGATCGGAGCGCGCAGGGCAGGGGATTTTCCCCCGGCCCCTCCAGAACTGGTAATTGGTCACGTTACAACTTGTGTGACATTTTGACGAAGGCTGATGCAGCTTTCGTTGTATAAACGGATTCCGAAGTTCATTTTCTGCGCTGTACAAGCGCTGATACTAGAATACAAGCACCGAGGAGTATGAGACACAAGTAAAGCCCATTTATCGCAAAACATAGTTGCATTCAAGAGTGTCGTGTTCATTCAGGTTCATTTGACGAATGCACTTCCCAGCGATCAACCGGCAAGTGTTCGTTGTTGTTTTTCAAATTCGGGCACATAGCCCTCAAGCTCCCAGTAGTCTTGGCGATAGTAAAAGATTCAGTTGCCATTAAACGGTAAATGGAATCTTACGACTTTTGTCTTCTACTAGTGCTACGTCTGCGGCGGAATTTATTCAAGGAACTTATCAGGATAACGGCTACGGTTAATTTGTGCAGATCGCCACTATTTACTTTTGGAGTCTCGCAAGTCTTGAGAATTGATCAACTTTAACGCAACCTCCACCTCAAAACTGGATCTACAGTGTATCCAAGTATTAGAGGAAGCTATCTGCCACTACTCAGAAGGTCAGCAAATGAATCTGAACGGCAGAAGAAGTATTTTTACCGGGTGCCAGGTTTGTGCAAATGAGCTTTGACACGAGGGTAGTTATGTAAATACACTGACTGTGGCAGATTTTAATCTGTTCTCGCGTGCAATCCAAGGAGATACCCACCGGTTTGAACTTAAAAAACTCTTTATTAAGGTAAGAAATTTACTGTGATGTGCTTTTCAGTCTTCATCTAGACACAACTTTTGAGATTTTCTCCCCCAAATTTGGCTGAATTTTAGTATGTGAACAAAGGCCTCAGAGTAGGGTATCTTCCAGCCTCGCTATTAAGCTTGGAATTTTCCGAATTTTCCTTCGGCTTCGGCTGATAACCCCTACCTCAGCCTTGATTATTCTAGATATCACAAAAACCTCATCCAATAATTGTTTATAACAATAACAATAACAATGACAATGACAATGACAATGACAATGACAATGACAGTGACAGTGACAGTGACAGTGACAGTGACAGTGACAATGACAATGACAATGACAGTGACAGTGACAGTGACAATGACAATGACAATGACAATGACAATAACAATAACAATAACTATTAACAATGATTTAGAAATGCATAGACAAGTAAAAACAAACGATATAATCTCCCGACGTTTCGGCGACTTCATGACGCCATTATCAAGGGTACAAATCAGAATTAAATTAACAAATGCGAGTTCAAGAGTTAT